TGCCACTCAGCCTTGTGTCCTAGGGAGGGCCAAGCCCCCTTAGCACTCCTGCACATGGTCCTTGCTTTAGGTCTTCAGTGTCTCTCTCTCCTCTGGACCTTTCCCGTTGGCCTGTTACCCTGTGGTTCAGTCTCTTTACCTTTTGTTAAATGCAAAACGAATCTTGACCTTTTCTCTCCAGCTCTCTGTTCCCTGTAATTGTTACTCTCTCCTATTATTCTGTCTTCCTTTTATAGCCGTAGTATGTGGTTTGTCCATATTGGATGGACTCATTTTCTCTCCTCCCTTTCTCTTTGGGTCCTGCGCTCACTGGGCTTTTCCCCCTTGCTGCACATGTTAAGATTGCCAGAGATTAACATATTGCACAATCAACTCATCAGTTATCTTACTTGACGAGGCAGGTTGTAAAACCAGTGATCTCTCCCTCCTTCTGGAAGGACTTTGTTTTTTCCCTGCCTTGTGGGACACCACCTTTTTCAGGCTTTCTCCAAATTCCCCTGGCTGCCTCTGCTCAGCCTGCTGGTTCCTTTTCATTTCTCTAACCCTAAGCATTACACAGCTGCCGGACATAGTCTTTGGACTTCTAGTCTACTTAACAGTTCCCTTGATAATCTCTTCTAATGTCATGAATTCAAATACCTTTTGTACACCAGTGACTTCCAATTTCATAGTTCTACCCTATGGCCTTTTCAGAACTCCACACTCAATGTTAGGGTGCTGTCTTGACACTTAGATTTGTCTAATGGGCATTTCAAATTTCTGTTCAAAGTGGTACTTGTGGCTTCCACTAGCTCTCTTCTGTCCTCTCTCTCCTTCTCTAGTACCAGTGTTTTAGTAGTTGTTATTTTTGTTTCTTCTTTATGTATTTGGCACAGGGTCTCACTACGCAGCTTGGACTTGTAGTTATTCTCCTGTTTTCAGCCTCCCCAGCACTGGGATTACAAGTGTGTGCCATAGCTGGTCTCAGCGGCCTGCTTGGCACACCCGGACAGGGCCAGTGCAGCAAGTGGTGCTGGGGCGATCAAACCAAGGTCCCCGCACTTGCCTAAGCAGGTGCTTAGTCTCTTGATCTATCTCGCTGGCCCTAGTAGTTCTAGTCAAAGTGTTCATCCTGGCCACTTTGCTCTCTTTTTGTGCAAGGTGTGTGCTACTTGGGATAGAACTCAGGGCCTTGCTCATGCTAGGCAAGCACAACCCTTAATTGCAAGTCAGGTCACAAAATTCCTCGTCCTCAAACTTCAGAGGCCCTGGTCTTGGGGCAGAATCCAGAGTCCTCTGCGTGGCCTTGAGTGACTGTCACACCTGGTCCCCACTATCTTCTGGCCTACCCACAGCTCTGCAACGCCTGCTGCTCTTGGACCGCTCTCCCTGTGCAGATCCTGAGACCTCCAGGCATGTACTTGCCTTCCAGCGCTGCGCTTGCACCCACTCTGCTTAGAGTGCTTTTCCCATGAGGAAGCAGGGTGCACTCCCTCTCTTCCTTCAGGTCCTTTGTCAGATGGTGTTTTGTCAGATGTCCTTGGCCACTGTACCTATAATTGTCTCTCTCCCCACCCCCCACACAATTTTCTCGTTTTTTTGGTGGAATCAGGGATTGAACTCAGACCCTTGCACTTGCCAGGGAAGCACTTATTCTACTGAGCCATCTCCCTGGCCCACAATTTTCTCTTGTTTATCTGCATTTTTTTTTCTTAAATTGTCACCATATAACCTACCACTGACATATTTATTTTGGTTGTCTTCCTCTTCTAACATACAAAGGGAAGGATTTTCTATATATTCAGCTTATTGTTATATTCCCAGTATTGAGAATATGGTGGGTTCTCAGTAAGTGCTTATTTAATGAGTAAGTGGTGACCATACTCAAATAGTGATCCTAGAGAGAGCTTAGCGCACACGTTCTGCTGATAGGCTTGTGGAAGGAGTGCATGTTCCCAAAAACTCAGCAGGAAGCTCTTGTCTTATGACTAAACCGATTACAGAATTAATCATTCTAATAAAGGATAAAAAGGATGGATCTACTGCATTTATTTATTCAAAAATATTTCAGTAATTTCTGAGTGCTAGACACGGTGCCATTCTAATAAATGAACTCTAGTGTGTATGCCTTGAGATTATGGTTTTGGCAGGTAAGAGGAAAGAGTACACACACACACACTTAGGCCTAATGTTTGCGTAGCCAGTGACCCTAGCCAGAGTGTTGAAACAGCATTTCTGAAATTACAGAGCAAACCAAGTGGAAGCGATTAGACCGCCATGTGCGTGTGCTTCTGTGGTCTTCTCTTCTGTAACGCTACCATCGCAGGACTCCTTCTTGCTCTGCTCCTCCTAGCGGCCAGCTTTCCCGAGTGCTGCCCTTGAACTCAGCAGAAGCGCAGGGCAGGAGAGGCGAGTGGTGTGGCTGGCACGCTGGCCTGCGTTCGGGTTCAGCTGGGCCCGCCTCAGCTCACTAAGTGAACTCTCCGTTGGGTGTTTGGGGCTGCTGTTAGAGCCTTGAATTCTTTCTCCTAGTGCAATGTCTCAGATTTGGAATTCCTCCAGAGCGAAAGCTCAGTGCTAGAGCACCTCATCATCCGTTCCTTCTCCCTTGCGCCCCCGACCTCTTCTCACACTGGCTCTTCCTGCCTGGTGGTGCTCAACCCCGCTAGATGCACATGAGTTTCCTTCTGGGTTGCCAGGTTTTCATAAGTGCTATTACATGGTAATTTGCAGATAAATTCCTATTTCCTTGACATTTTGCTTTTAGATGCACACTGTTCTAACTGATCCTGTTGCAAGTCACCTCCTTCCGCTCCTTCCTTCCAGATTCCGTGCTGGTGGTGAAGGCACGGCAGCCGAAGCCTGTCTTTGCTGCAGGAAATACATTTGAGATGACTTGCAAAGTGTCTGCCAAGAACATCAGGTCCCCCCGCTACTCTGTGCTCATCACTGCTGAGAAGCCCGTCGGGGACTTCTCCAGCCCCAATGAAACCAAGTCCATCATCTCCCTGGACCAGAACGCGGTCGTGAAGCTGGAGAACTGGACAGATGCTTCACGGGTAGATGGTGTTGTGTTAGAGAAAGTCCAGGAGGATGAATTTCGCTATCGAATGTACCAAACTCAGGTCTCAGACGCAGGGCTGTACCGCTGCATGGTCACAGCCTGGTCGCCCGTCAGGGGCAGCGCATGGCGGGAAGCAGCAACAGGTCTCTCCAATCCGATTGAGATCGACTTCCAGACCTCAGGTAAGCAGGAACCCACCTCACCATGGAGGGAGCTAGCAGTGGCTCCAGGGTTTTGATCCATTCCATTTAAAGTATGGGTAGTATGAGATTTGGGGGCATTTCCTGCATGCATAACGGTGTGCAGCCATCACTGCAGTCAGCATTAGAACATTTTCAGGACACCAGAAGAGTGCTGAACCCTCAAGTGGGACGTCCAACCCTGCCTCCCTGCTGCTGCTCCTGTTGGGCAACACCCATAGTCTCCTTTCTGTCTATTAGAATTGCCTATTCCGGACATTTACATGAGGAGGATATAACTTGTGGCCTTCTCATTCACTACTTTCTTTTAGCATGATGTTTTGTTTTTTGAGACAGGGTCTTGCCACATAATCCAGCCTGGCCTTGAACTCATGGGCGTCCTCCTGCCTCAGCCTCTCAAGTGCTGGGATTACAGGCATGCACTAGTTGGCCTTTGTTGCATCATGTTTTTAAGAGCCATCCACATCGCCGGCTATGCAGTAGTTCACTTCTGTGGCTGGATAGTATTTCCACTGTGAGGATAATCTTGTGCTTCCTTTATCGTTTCATGAGCTGGTGGACATGTGGATGGCTCCAGTTCCTGACCGTTTTGTGTAGTGCTGCTGTGAATGCTCATGTGCAGGCCTTTCTGTGAATGCATGCGTTCATTGCTGTCCTCATTTTTCTAACAAATAGGCTGGAGCTCAGCTACTTCAGATTCTTTGGGGTCACGGCAGACTAGAAAGAAAGAAAGGAGGGAGGAAGCTGAGCTTCTAGAGAGGCTAAACGATTCAACAAGAGTGGGAGGTTGGGCACTGAGACCCCCGTGTCACCCAGCAGGCTGGCTTTCTGCACTGAGGGCCTCTGGGCTCAAGGTGGTGACTTCTATTCTTGGCCCAACTGGGCTCCTTGTCTTGCTTTTAGATTGAATAAAAAAATTTCCTGCAGTTAGTCCCCAGAGCTACAGAGGCTAGCTTAATGTATGTACCCACTTTATTTGTTAAGAATGACAATGAGTGGTATTATTAATGGATTATTAACTGTGGGAAAGTTAATTTAAATAAGGACTTTTTTATATCCTGAAATGATTTTATCTTTGGCATCTAGAATGCGTCATCCTGTAAGGCAGAAAGGCCTACTTTTGTTGAAGGCACAGAGACAAGGAGCGTGCGGAACTCTCCAAAGGCGATATGTGTTCCCGGCTGGTGCACGCAGCGCTCTGGGAGACAGACAGGGAGGTTGCCGCTCTGAGGCCAGCCTGGGCAATTGGCAAGACCCTGTCTCA